CCAACCATTCCCAAGTTTTAAACCACTCTCCTCGAAAGCTCCTTAATGTCTTACCAAATTCAGTTCGTGGAAACTTATGAGATGCTGGTTGACAAGCACCTTTAACAACATATGCTCTCATCACATCATCCCTAATCCCCGGCGCATATTCATTAATTGGTTTTCGTAAAAATGGATCACTAATAATATCCCATTCATGTGTACTTTCTGTTCGGGCTCTCTTGTCCCTCTCATTCCTCTCATCTCTAGCAATATTTTCATTTGACGCAGTGGCATTTTCAACACTAGAGATAGACTGATTAGGAACAATTGAAGAACTTACACCTCCAATCAAAGACCTCTTAGTCTTAATTACAAATTTATCCAAACTCATACTCCTAAATATAACAAAAATAAGTATGAATTAAAAATGTTCCTTATACAAATAGCATTAAATTGCATCTAGAACTGAGATTTGAGGATTCACACAAATAATTTCTGACTTTTCGTTAGGGATGAGAGCAAATAATTAATATGGGCATAAATTGGCAGATGAGAAACTTACTTAAAAATTGCAGAATCTGAGAACAAATGGGGAGAAGTGAGAACTAGGGCTGGATTCGGTTCGGTTCCCGAACCGAAATAGGAAATATCCGAACCGAACCGATCTTTCGGTTTCGTATATTCTATAACCCGAAACCGAACCGATCTAAGTTGGGACCCAATTTTTCGCACACCGAATTTTCGGTCCGGTTATTCGGTTTTTTCACAAAAAACGAATGGGTATTCAATATTTGTTTATATTGTAGCTAATACTTGCACTCAAGCTTTACTAGCAACTTAATCTTTATCAACTATGAAGGAGCAATTATATAGGCTCAAATGAGGAGTGAATCTTCTATTTCATCCGGTGTGGGACGAGTTGTAGGCTGAAGAAAATAAAATTGGAAGAATTGGGGCGGAAGAAAAGCAAAACAAGTTTAACTTAATCCGTCCTGGGGGGGATTCGAACACGGGTGATACGAAGGGAGCGTGTTACCTGTCTCCACTGAGTTACTCCGGATTATTGGCAAATTGGGATGCCAAATGTATTACATACATTAATCCCCTTTTATTCTATATTTCATTTTTTTTACTTTTTCTGAAAATACTTTTTTATTTATTTTAACACTTCATCTTAAAATAACCTTAAGTTGTACTTATTGTTTTTAAAATTAAAAAAGAAGCCGGGGCAAGAAACATATTATAAGTAATACTAGTAAATAAAATTAGTCGGAGCGGGGGCGCTTGCCCCCCCTTGCCCCCCCTAGCTCCTCCACTGCGCATGGGACAATGAAATAACAAAAAAGAAGTTACTGTTCACCCGCGTGAACAGTAATACCTTTTTTTGTGGGTTTTAAAACTAATTAAGTGGTCAAACGGTTGACACATTTGCTAATAATTAAGTGGCTTTTAAAACAAATTATCGCATGAAGGACGTTAAGAATAACAGTATGAAGGTAATTCATATTTCATAGAATAGAAATATTTTCCAAAAGAAAGGTGGTGTGATGGAAAGACATACCATTTCTCAAGACTGTGACAAAATGTCATCATTCAAGGATCTCATTGTTTTAGACTTAAGAAGGGAAGGAGTAGTAAAAGTGAAATGAATGTGAACCATACACATTGTCCAAAAATGTTAAGTGGGGAGAATTTTTTAGAACGGCCCAAAAAGAAAAGTGGGAAGGATTTTCAGGGACGGAATGAGTAGTAAGATGGGAGATTATATAAGAAAATTTCCATCACTTTCAGAAATTATCAAAACAATTAGTGAATTAAAATACTTTTCAAAAACATTTATTTTAAAAAATTAAAAAAAAAAAGAGCATGAAGCTTATTGATAAAATAGACTATTCAAACACATGAAATCAATTAGGAAAAGGGATGAAGAAATGATTCAGTGACGACTAACTCGTCTCAAATTCCTAATACTGTGACAAAATGTTATCATTCAGCAGTGCCATTCAGTTAAGTCGTGTTCAAGGAATAATAAAATCAGAGATTTCACACTCATTAAGAAGAGAGATATTTTACTTACTACTCCTAACATTTATGTGTATATCTCTCTCATGACACATGTGAAACTGCATATCATATACTCTCCCGCCCCTTAAAACTTTGTCATCTTTCCTTTTTGGGACGTTCCAAAAAACTTTGTCATTTTCCCTTTTAATCAATTATTTTATGGTTTCTGTTATTTCTCTCTCCTCTGCACAAACCTAAATCACACAGTTTTTACTTTATTATTCTCCGTGCCGGTCAACTTTGACAAAGTTTTAAGGGACGGAGGTAGTATATATATTGTTGTACTAGAAATGCTTTTAGAAGGATGAAGAGACATAACGTATAGATGATGTTACATAGGACATACAACAATATGCATTTCTAATCTATGTGTATGGTTAAGTTCAAATGTAATAAGTCACAAAAATTTACCTATATATAATTACACTGACTTAAGATAAGTACCGCACTGTAGATAAGTACCGATCTGACCGCAAATCACAACGATTCCAGATCAAATATGAGGATTTTCCTTCGTATTTTAAGATATGAGTTCGTGGTTGGGGCGAGTGTAACACCCCGGCCCCGTAGGCCCCGAGATAGTTACTTCTGACCTCTTGTACTGTCCTCACAAACCGTCACTAGTTTTTTCCGCACACTTTGTCATCACTCGTGTGCGCCCTGAAAAACATCCCAGGGGGTCACCCATCCCAAGACTACTCCCGTGAAAGCACGTTTAACTTTGGAGTTCTTTGCTAATGAGCTCCAATAATAAAGAGATGCACCTTGTTGATATGAGTAGTACTATTAATCCGTTTAAATTAAATCTCAAGTATTACAGCGAGGCTTGAAGGTACGGCGTGGCTTGAAGGGCTGTGTTGCGGGGTTGTTGGGTGGGCTGGGATGCGTCTTTGCTGGGTAGGGCTGGGAAGGGTGCTGTGGGCCTGGGGTCTGGGTTGGGGCAGGGTTGGTGTGTTGGGGAGGGGGTTGGTGTGTTGGGACGGGGACGGTGGAGGGGATTGGTCACGCCGGAACCCATGGTGGTGTTAACTGGTCAGAAAGGCCTGGGGAAGGACAGGGGCAGTGCAGGGGAGCATGGCAGTGGGTGTCGTTGGGTATTGGCCCGGTTGGAATCGGAGACGCGTGGGGCTGAAATAGTTGGGGAGGGGACTGAGAAGGTCAGGGATGGGGATGGGATGGTTGGGGAGGGTGTTGGTAAGGTCAGAGAGGGGACTGGGATGGTTGGGGAGGGCCTGGTAAGGTCAAAGAGGGGGCTGGGATGGTTGGGGATGGGGCTGGGCAGGTAAGGGAGAGGGTGGTGCACCGACGATGGTGTGGGGTGAGCAGTGGCGGTGACAGTAGTGAGGGGTGGGAAGTAACGATGATGTTGGGCTGGGGAGTGGGGGAACTGCAGTGCAGTGGTCGATGGCGGAGGCAGTGGCCAGCAGTGCAGTGGTGGCCGGTGGCGGCGATGGGTACAGTCAGACGAACGGTGACTATTGTGACACGTGTGGTGCCCATAAAGACATGAGCGGTGGCTACAGTGACACGAGCGATGACTAGAGTGATACGAGTGGTGGAAACAGTAACATGTTGGGCGGCTACATTGACACGAGCGCCGATTCAGTGACACGAGTGTGGCGACAGTGACATCGACGGTAGCGACAGTGACACCAGCGGTGGCGATGGTGACATTTGATAGTGACATTAAAATTGGACAGTGACATTAAAATCTGACAATGACATGAATATGACCTTCTTAGTCACATTTTTGTCTTAATGTTAATGTGGTCATTTTTTTGAAATTGTGTTTAATTTTGTACTCCCTCCGTCCCTAAAAGGATTGTCAAGTTTGACCGGCACGTAGAATAATAAAGTAAAAAGTGCGTGGTAGATATTTGTACAGAGGAGAGAGAAATAACAAGGGCCACAAATTGATTGATTAAAAGGGAAAGTGACAAAATTTTTTAGACAACCAAAAAAGGAAAGTTGACAAAGTTATAAGAGACGGAAGGAGTAATATTTAAGTAAAAACCTTATAAACAAATCATACTAGACCTACAACTAACACGTAATTTAAGACCTTGTATTAGGCTTTGACAATCGTACATTTTGCTTAATATCAGACTTTCATAGCATCTATCCTGTTTTTAATGCGAATGCACATAAATAAAAATAACATTTGCCGTTTTACAAGGATAACTAAAAATCATAAATTTAGAAGGACCTTTTATCGGGAAAAGAGACATTTTGATTTTTTTAAGAGTTACTTATAAGCAAAAAAGACTACAAAAGTAAGGTTCAAAATTAAAGAAACAAATGTCCACATGCAAACAAATACTTCGTAGTTAATAAATATACAAATGAAAAATTAAGAGGGTGTTTGTGCTGATTCATAAAATTGTTTTTGCTCCTTCAGGGAGCAGAAACAGATATTAAAATATTTGACTGAAAATGCATAAGTACTTCTGGGTGCTTTAAATTGCTCCTAGAAGCAATGTTTTAGAAATTAAGGGAGATCAACTTCTGAAAACTGATTATGATTATGATTCAGTTTTCAAAAAAGAAACAGAAACAAAATCATTTTCAAACACTCCCTAAATAAATAAAAGGGCTACAGATTACGACCAATCTAGTAGTGGTTTCTGGTGTGGGGCAACTCCAGGCCAGCCTATTATTTTCTCACGCCGGTCCGTTGGGTTTTAGCAAAACTAAATAATTAGGGCTGAACCATATGTATGCTAAGGTTTATATTCAGTGCTTATGGATTGAACTGGGATCGTATTACTCGCAATCTCTTGGTGACACTACTTTCTAGAGGTCATACTATCTCGAACTGGGTCAAATATGCGTTTAAGTATTTGAAATTGTCAAGGCTTGTTCGTAAATAGAACTCATCTCTGACTTTAAGCCCAATTCCAACATATTAGTTCAATTCTTAAGTATGCTTTGTTTTAGTGGAAATTACCCATGAGGTCCACTTTTTTGCTCCACATATCATTTTTGTCTCCATTATTTCTTCTTTTCATTTTTAATCTTTTCAGTTTTCAAGTATATTTTTTATTTCAAAAATAACATAATCCTACGCCAAAACACAATCCCCGAATTGTTGAAGTAGAAGCCAGAGATTACTCTCCTCGTGCCCAGCTCTGGCTGCGACTCCAGCCTCCGTGGCTCCACCGTTGGGCCTTCGTCCTGTGCAGCTCCGCACTCCGCACTCCACACTGTGCGCTCCTCCCTCCGCACCTCCGCACTCCGTCTCTTGCGGCTCCGCGCTCCGTCTCTTGCAGCACCACGCTTTGTCCTCCATTCTATGTTGCTTTACTTCCAGTTGGCTGAGATGTACCTCAGATAGCTTTGCTGGAGGTGATGAAATCCATTGTAGATCCTCCCTAGCCATCATCTTACAAAGTCACTTATATAATATGCTCTATGGTTATCGACAATTTGGAGATTAAGAAAGTGTTGAATCCCATCAATTCACTCAAATCAGGGAAAAGGTACTCTAATCTCACTAAGCAGATTACTAAACAATGTTATAAAGTGAATAATTTCCGTTCTTCATCCATTCTAATGAACTTTAGCCTTTGTGTTGATTAATTCCTAGTACCTAGTGAATAAGCTATAAGTCTGGGTTGTTTTACGTATGATATGCACTTGCTGCAATGTTTTTTTACTTAAAAGCATAGGAGGGAATGGGAAAAGCATGTCAAGAGGATGAAAAAAACAGAAAATCCGGAAGCCTAAGAAGAAGAAGCAGAGAGGTGCAATAGTAGGTGAAGAAGATCAACTTGCACCAGGACAATAGCTCCTGAGACATGAATTGCCTTTTGTTTTCTTCATTAAACTTATTATTCAAATAGTCCTCTACACAGAAATTTGTTAGTCGGAGTATTAACTTTACATTGGGAGGAGCAAACTCCTCTAAAGCAACATTTTATTGTTAGAGCTTAGAATACATTGGTCAGCTTCATGCTTAGCTAACTTCAATTCGATTAGGTAAGTTCTATTCTAGATTTCTAGTTTAACCTTTATTTCTTGGTTATAGTTTCTGTTTGAGACTTTCATCTTTAATTTTTAATTTCAGCCTAATTTTTTTGCTTTGAGCCTTTGACCATGAATTAAAACCTAAGAGCTTTTTGTTTTTGTTTTACGTTTCTTTTTTTTTTTTGAACTGAAATAATGCAATCTTAATTTTATAGAAAGATTTGCACTAGTCACAGTTAATATGTGATTGAAGTATAGTCTTTAATTTTTAGTTTCATGTTTTTTTCTTGAGCCTTGGACTGTGGATTAGAACCTAAGATCCGTGTTTTTCTTGTTGGGTTTTTAGTTGTTGAACTAAACGAACGAAAGCTTAAGTTCATAAAAAATTAGCATTTATCACAGTTATCATGTGCTTGAAGTTTTGAGCAGCTGTTTGTTCTTCTTGTTTAGCATTAACAGTTTACCTTTTGTTGAATGCATTATCAGATTCAATGTTTTTTCATTATACAACTTGAAAACCTTTCAATGTTTTGCATTTGCGGCACATCTATGCATCATACCATAAATTCATTTTGTTCCTTAAATAATAATTTCTTTTCAAATGCCCTCCACATTTATTTTTATATAGACATTTGTTTTTATTAGTTTTGTGGATCTATCACGTTATGTTGAAATAAATGATTATGATTTTGAAACCTTTTCTAATCGCATTTGACGCTCTAAAGTATTTGACAAGTGATGCAACTCTAACGGTGGTTTAGTGTTTTAGGGTGTGGTTGCCACATTTATTGTTGTCGCTGAGATTGAAGTCCGTCCTTGATCCAACTGAAGTGAAGCACTTCAAAGTGACACTTTCATGAGTCAATACAGCATTGACAAATTAGTTTCCACCCAGCTATTGATGTGACACGCCCGCAAAATTCCCGTAACTGCTTGTCTATTGTTGATGTACATTTGGAACGATCATTCCTTTCTTGGCATTGCAAGAATAGCTTGAATTATATATTTCTTGTGACACTTTTATATGTATTTTTTTGTTTCTTTTTGTTACATTGTGTCTGTTGTTTTTTGTTGCATTGTGTTGCTTTTTGTTGCATGATATTGCTTTTTGTTGCATAATGTTGTTTATTGTTGTTTATACATGAATTTGATTTTTTTATTGCTTATTTAGATCTATATTTATCTTTGCTACTGTTTTAAAGTAAAACAATGATATATAAATTTATATTCAGGGGGTGTTTGGAACTGATTCTACTTCTGCTTCTTTTTTAAAGTAGAAGCAGAATCAGAATCAGTTTTCAGAAGCTGGTACCCCCAGCTTCTAAATAAACTGATTCTAGGAGTAAATTAGAGCACCAGAATCACTTCTGCATTTTCACCCAAACACTCCAACTTCTACTTCTGCTCCTTCAGGGAGCAGAAGCAGTTTTAAGAATCAGATCCAAACACCCCCTCAATCACTTAAAATTATAAATTAAGATTTATGAATATCAACCAACCACAAGAAACATAAAGAAACAAAAACAAAACAAAACAAAACAGAGTTATCAACAAAAGGAAACAAAAAGAAATAATAGCAACAAAAACAAACAACATATTTATATACTATGCATTTATAAAAATTTGTAACAATTTTTAAAAAATAACCAGATTCATATTTTTAAACTTTTTCAATCGTTTCAATGCTTAAATTTGTTTCACTTTTCATATTTTTATTTTTGAGGTTTGTATTTTTCATGCTTTTTGGTTTTATTAAATGTTGTGCTCAAACTTGTTTTTTGTTGCATCATGTTGCTTTTTGTTGCATGATATTGCTTTTTGTTGCATAATGTTGTTTATTGTTGTTTACACATGAATTTGATTTTTTATTGCTTATTTAGATCTGTGTTTATCTTTGCTACTGTTTTAAACTAAAAAAATGATATATAAATTTATATTCAATCACTTAAAATTATAAATTAGGATTTATGAATATCAACCAACCACAAGAAACATAAAGAAACAAAAAAAAAATAAAAAAAAAAAAAACAGAGTTATCAACAAAAGGAAACAAAAAGGAATAATAGCAACAAAAACAAACAAACAATTTATATACTATGCATTTTTAAAAATTTGTAAAAATTTTAAAAAAATTACAAGATCCATATTTTTAAACCTTTTCAATCGTTTCAATGCTTAAATTTGTTTCACTTTTCATGTTTTTATTTTTGAGTTTTGAATTTTTTATGCCTTTTGGTTTAATTAAATTTCGTGCTCTTCAATTCTTTTAAAAAACAATTTCTATTTATATTTTATTTATAAATAATTTATAATTCTGATTGTTTTGTATGTATGTACTTTTATACAAATTAATGGGCATATGAAGACTTCTAAAAAATTCACATTACAAAAAATTGTTATTTTTCTAAAAGTTTTCCACTTTGTAAATTATTTTAAATATTTTCCGGTTTTAGTTTGATTTTTTTTTTCAAATCCTCTATACATTTGTTAACATTTTTCTAATAAACTTTTTAAAATTAAATTGCATTATTTGATTTTATTAAGTTTTTTAAAATTGCATTTTTCTTAACTAATACATAAAAGTTTTCAACTTTGGTTTTTTACTATGCATGATTTGATTTTTATTAATTTGATTATTTTATTATTTTTAATTTTATCGTATTTTTAATATTCTCACCATTTTCTAAATATATTCATCTTTTTTACATTTTACTCAATATCAGCTTTTTCTACTTAAAACATGAATTGAGTATTCTTGGAGTTTGTATACATTTGACACAGTCTATTGTAATGGACGATGGGGTTGGGTTATATAAAAAAATTTGTCACGGATTTGTCACGGATAAATCCGTGACAAATCTTTTCCCGTACCGTATTATTAAAGGTTACCGCTGGAAAAACAATAATTGAGGTTTGTCACGGATTTTGTCACGGATGGATCCGTGACAAAGTTTTTTTGAAGTTTGTCACGGATTTGTCACGGATCTGTCCGTGACAAATGCCCGGGAGCAAAAAAAGTTTTCGCCGGAGTAAAAACCGGTCGCCGGAGTAACTTTGTCACGGACCAAATCCGTGACAATATGTTGTCACGGCGTTTGTCACGGATAAATCCGTGACAAATTATTTTCGTGACAAATTCCAAAATTCCGTGACAAAGCCCGTGACAACTTTGTCACGGCCGGAATCCGTGACAAACGGCGTGTTTTTTTGTAGTGATTCTCAATATAAATTTGACAAATTGAGTACTGCCCATGCATTTCTGTGGAGCGTACTACGTACTTAATGCTGCGTATATTCCAGTGGGTTGGAGCGCATAGCGGACTACGTATATTTCAGTGGGTTGATTTTAGGTAGATGGTTTATTTTTGAAAAGGAAAGTTCCGTTGATCTAATTTTGAAAAGAATTTTAACATGTGATAAAAGTGATATTATTTTCAGTTTGTGGTCTATTTGTGAAAAATTCCCTTTGTTTTATCATGTACAGATTTCCTTTCGGCCCAAACATGCTCTTAATATCTCTTGGATATACTACCTAAGATGTTTTTAATTGGACTGTTTTTGGTCCCAGATCAGATCAAATCAAACGAGACTAGATCGGACCAGATCAGACCAGATCACACTTGGATAGTTATAAAATACACAGATATCTGACATTTACCTGATCCGACCAGTTCAAATCAGATTAGATCAGACTAGAAAATTTTAGTTCAAGCAAAAACATTCATACTACGTATAAAATTATAATACTCCGTATGTGACTTGAACCGGTTTACAACCATGGTATTTCACAATTTTCTTTAATATTTTCTCATTTTCTCATTATTAAATTATAGAATGCCCATTACGTCATAATAATAATAATACTCTTTCTGGACGTTTTTTATTCACTGAAATACTAATTTGAATACTTCCTATGTTATTAAATAAATGCAATGGTTAATATTTGACATTTGCCGAGACACAACTTTGACCATTAATATATATAATTATGTGTTAGTAAAAATTTTAAAAAATTAGATTTTGAAAATTTACAATGAGACAAACTTGAGAATATTTTTTCATAAAAAAATAGCAATACATTAACAAATAAAACATAGTCAAAGTACAACATGTGAATAGTGTAAAATTCAACATGTTGCATTTATTTAAGAACAGAGGTAGTATATACGATGTTCGTTATGCACTTAAACTCATTTTGCATCACATTACTCCCTCTATCGCATAATTAATTCCTGTTTTGACTTGACATGTACGGGTCGGAACCAGGACATTGGGCAGGATTGAGCTGGTACAAAGAACATGTTCGGAAAAGAATTAGACAGAAATTTTCTTTAAAATCAATGTATCTTTTAATGGATTAGTAGCTTATTTTGTCTCAAACAATAATCAAATTCACAAATCTATCATATTCTTTCATATTTATCAAAACAAGGCTCAAACTTCATTTTTTTAAACAATTATGCTTTTCTTTATTGTTTTTACAAAATCACACATTCTTATCAATACCAATAAGATCATATAAATAATACAAATTTGTAAACTTAAAACTAGAAAGAAGTGAAAAGTGTGAAATTTAAATATGATTTTCTTCTTAAATTCTACTAAGTCAGTGACAAAAGTTCAATGAAAGTGTAATTGTGAGAAAAGTTGAAGTTTGAGTCTTTTTTTAATAAAAGTGAAAGTCTGTGATATATTTGTGAATTTGATGATAGTTAGGTAAAAGCATTTAACTAATAATCCTTTTTTAATTTGGTGTAGGTCTGGGCCTAGATTGGCCCTCCGAGATCCACCCTTGAGATTAAGAGAGTCAAATTGTGTGACCTAAAGTTATGGAGAAGACAAAGACCGGCGAAAAGTGAAAGAGTAAAGTTTATTGTGGAACGAAGGGAGTTTGCTTATTTTATCATTTAGATGCTTATTTCACATCTGAATATGTAATGCACCTTCAATTTTTAAATATAATTTTTCAATGATTTAAATGGTAAGCGCCTCAACTCAAACATAAAAACAATTCTGTGCAAGAGACTATTTGCAGTCCTACATAAATATTGATATGTGTGGTGGATATTCTATTTTCTATACTTGGGAAACTTAATAAAATGCTACATTGATGAAACTATTTTCTTTGTAGGGGTATAGTAATTGTATCGTGAAAGATAAGCATGATGCCTGCCAGTAGAAGAACAATAAAGTTAGGGCAGGAAATTAAAGTGTTAAGAGAATGATAAAAAGAGAGTTATACGCATCTATTCTATCAAATCACTCGAATGCAAAAGAAGGTGGAAGGCACGATGGTCCGCAATGGGTTGGATTGAAGGGAGCATATCACAGCTTGGTGGGGAAGTAGTTATATACGATAGTATTACATTGTGTATAGAAATTAAAGGATTAGTGACTACACAAGAGAAAATGTTACTTGATTGCAAATAGTGGAGTCTCAGTTTTCATGTCTGTGTAGGACTAAAAACAAATCCAATGTAAGAATATTATTGGAGAGGCACTAGGAGGAATTAGGAGTTTTGAAAACAAAATGTCAAAATTTCCATCCTAAAACACGAATGACGGCACGATCCAGACGAAGTGGCTGGTCGTGAGGAGGGACGTTGAACCAGATACGTGTGAAGGCATCAAGTGCTATATTAAGACATGAAATTAGGCAAACACTCATATACATTACCTTAGGTGAGCACATAGGAGCAAGGTTTTAAATAGCAGTAACGGTAGCGGAAGCGGTCATCACGGTAGCGGCCATTGCGGTCGCTGTGATGCGTGTAGCGGTCGCAGTGGCGTGAAATATTTTCAAGTTCGCTAGATGTGCTCCAATTCCTCTCACAATTTGTTTCACGTCATCCTTATTAATAATTTATTCAGTTTTAATAATTAAAACTTACATATTTAGAAACTACATTAAAATCTTTATAAGACTGCAAAATCCAAATTAAAATTTAATTAAGAACTGAGAGAGTAGCAATTAGTTAGCCCACATTTACAATATTTTTAGTGATCATGCACATGAATTTATGTTGGAAAAGTTTGGTCCTAGAACCCATACATGTACTTCGGAAAAGTTTAATGTATTTCAAACCATGCACAAAACATTTACACATTTATACATCAACTAGTTCGTGATGCAGTGTCGAAGGTGCCGGTAGCAGTGGTGGATCATTGTGAGGGCAGGGGTGGGCTCAAGCCCAGCCCAATTTTTTATTTATATATTAATATAGGTATAAGTTTGATTACCAGCCCACCCCAAAATTAATTCCCAGCCGAGCCCAAGCCTAATCCAAGTGTTTAACTATTCCGCTAATCCACTCACCTGCGGCCTTCTGATCCTTATGCGAAGATTGAAGAACGAAGGTCGAAGAAGAGCCTAGCAGCTTGCGACACGAGCTGACCTGCAGCCACCAGCCGCACTGTCGGACGCCGTCGCCTACTCGGCCGTGTTTTCTCTCCGACTCTCCGCACTGCCTATAGCTCCTGAGCCCCAGCCTCTAGGTGACCTGGTATACTCTAGCTTTAAATTTCTAATATTCTTTTAGACTTTAATTAATCGAATTTTTCAGGGTTATTGTGTATTGTTGTTGTGTATTGTTATTTTTAGGGTTAGAGAATCAATTCGATAATTAATTGAATTTCTCAGTTCATAACAAAATAGTGTTTATTCATTATAAATTTATAATGATTAAAGATAGAATTAAATATTAGAGAATGATTTATTTATTATACAATTGAAGAATATTGATTGATTTATTCATTGTGTGGACATGTAAGAAAGAATTAAAATTTTCAATTAAATTTTGAAATTGGGAATATTTATTAGTTTTATGTACAGCTAATGTTTTTTCTTATTAGTTTTATAATTTTGTAGAAGTGTTTTAATTCATACCAGTACTAAAAATGTTTTTTTAGAATGGATAATGATTAATGAACATATTGCTAAGAAAGGAAAGAAGTTAATTTCGTCATTCTTTCCAAAAGCGAATCGTCAAAGTGGTGAAGGAAGTTCTGAACTTATACCTACGATAATGCAAGATCTACGAAATGAGGTTCCTTCACAAGACCAAATCCCTGAATTCCAAACTATCTCAAATTTGGAGCTGCCTCCATCTTTTTGCATTAATAGATGTAGATTCTATATTATTGATAAATTTTATACTTTGAAGTCAAGTAGGGCTCAACTTAAATGATGTTTTGATGAATACTTAAAGTGTTGATGACTTTCGGTATTACTATGTGTGTGTGTCTTCAAATTTTATTTCTCAGCCCACCCCATTGTAGACTTCTGGATCCGCCCCTGGACGGTAGCCGCCTGTAGTGGCTGGTAGTGGTGTGTACCGGGCGGCGCAACGGATTGTAGCGGTAGCGTAGCAGTTACGTAGCGGATTTCAGTGTGATTTGAATTTCACATCACAATAATGGCCCGTACCGGTAGCGGAGGCTACCGCGACCGCTATATAGCGGCCGATATAGCGATTGCGGATCGCTATTTCAAACCATGCATAGGAGTTTAGACTTAAAAAGTGTTGCGAGCGGTAGGTTTGACACGCTACTTTCATTTGACACCAAAATTTAAAGGAGATAGTATCGGTTCATCCTCTCAACCACAATCTGAAGTGATTCCGTTGGATCTTCTTTATGCAATCAATTTGGTAACTACATTGAGGATATGCATTTGGATCCTCGTTTTTCAGGATTAATAGGGCTTGTGGACCTTTTAAAGAAACTTGTAGCAACAAAAAAACATAAGACTTATGGTGCCGTTTATAAGCTTGTGAAGTTTGCTTTGATCTTGCCGGTAGCAACTGCAAGTGTGGAACGTGTCTTTTCACCAATGAAGCATGTCAAGAGTGAATTGAGGAACAAAATGGGGGACCAGTGGTTAAATGATCGTCTCGTGACATTCATCGAGAGAGATGTGTTTATGACTATTAGCAATGAAGAAATTTTAGATTATTTTCAAAAAAACATGACCACAAGGAAAAATCATATTATGTAGTAAATCTCTTATACTTTATTAATATATTATGGAGTGTTTTACTTTTTAATGTAGTAATTTTTTGATTGATAAAGATACCACTACAAAAAAATTCGCCTGTAGTCACGGACCGTAGTCACGGATTTGGTCCGTGACTAGTTAGTCACGATTCTAATCACGGTGTAGTCACGGAATCGTTAAAAAAAAAGTAGTCACGGATTTGTCCGTGACTACGTCCGTGACTAGAGGTAGTGACGGACCTAGTCCGTGACTAAAGTGTTCCGGCCAACCCATTTTCGCCTCCGGCGGGATTTTTTTTAAATTTGAAATTAGTCACGGACAAGTCCGTGACTAGTACCGGCGTGTTAATAAATACATATGTAAGTATGTTATTAAATATAATATTGGCAATACATATGTTATTAATTTTAAAATATAGGATTAAAATTACGTAAATTAGTTAAATACGTATGTAAGTATATATGATTAAATATAATTTAAATGCATATTATTAATATTAGTTAATAAATGTAAGTATTATTTAATTTAAATGACTTTATATATATATATATATATGATTAAATATAAGTATATGATTTCTTTATATTGGCAATTATTGTTAATTAAGGCGGCCTAATTTAGGATTAATAATGATTTAAATTAGGGTTAGTTAATTTAATTTAAATGTGTTTATTATATATATATATATGCTCAAATTATTGAATTTGCTCATATTATTTAATTTAGTACGTAAATTGTTAAATGTGCATTATTAATAAGATTAAGATGTTGATAATTTTAGTATTGTGGATTAAATTAATGTCATTAACGTATTGTGCATGTTTATAGTTTAATAATATTAATTATTGGACGTTAGTTAATTTTAATGGGATTTTAGTGAATTTTAGTGAATTTTAGTGAAATTTTAAGCAATTAGTTAATTTTAAGGGAATTAGTTAATTTTAAGGGAACTTTAGGGAATTAGTTAATTTTAAGTGAATTTTAGTGAATTTTAGTGAAATTTAAGGAAACTAGTTAATTTTAAGGGAATTTTAGGGAATTAGTTAATTTTAAGTGAATTTTAGTGAAATTTAAGGAAACTAGTTAATTTTAAGGGAGTTAGTTAATTTTAGGGAATTAGTTAATTTTAAGGGAATTTTAGGGAATTAGTTAATTTTAAGGAAATTTTAGTGAAATTTAGTGAAATTTAAGGGAATTAGTTAATTTTAGGGAATTAGTTAATTTTAAGGGAATTTTAATGAATTTTAGTGAAATTTAAGGAAACTAGTTAATTTTAAGGGAATTAGTTAATTTTAAGGGAATTATTTAATTTTAAGGGAATTATTTAATTTTAAGGGAATTTTAGGGAATTAGTTAATTTTAAGGGAATTTTAGTGAAATTTAGTGAAATTTACGGGAATTAGTTAATTTTAAGGGAATTTTAGGGAATTGGTTAATTTTAAGGGAATTTTAGTGAATTTTAGTGAAATTTAAGGAAACTAGTTAATTTTAAGGGAATTAGTTAATTTTAAGGGAATTATTTAATTTTAAGGGAATTTTAGGGAATTAGTTAATTTTAAGGGAATTTTAGTGAAATTTAGTGAAATTTACGGGAATTAGTTTATTTTAAGGGAATTTTAGGGAATTAGTTAATTTTAAGGGAATTTTAGTGAATTTTAGTGAAATTTAAGGAAACTAGTTAATTTTAAGGGAATTAGTTAATTTTAAGGGAATTTTAGGGAATTAGTTAATTTTAAGGAAATTTTAGTGAAATTTAAGTAAACTAGTTAATTTTACGGGAATTAGTTAATTTTAAGGGAATTTTAGGGAATTAGTTAATTTTAAGGGAATTTTAGTGAAATTTAGTGAAATTTAAGGAAATTAGTTAATTTTAAGGGAATTCGTTAATTTTAAGGGAATTTTAGGGAATTAGTTGATTTTAATATATTAATAATACTCCACATATATAATATGTTGGTAATGTTTATAATTTAGAGTTTTTAACCTGTATAATTTTTTTATTATAATATTCAGGCATAATGTATAGACAAAATAGAATTTGGATGTATGATAAACATGCGGTATTGTACGGAATGCAATCAAATTTTCTTGAAGGAGTTGAGGAGTTTATTAAATTCGCACTTGAACATCCGGCTTATATGAGTGGTGATAAAATCAGATGTCCATGTTCAAAGTGTAAAAATCTCAAATTTAAACACCCAGAAGAAGTTGGGTGGGATTTGTACGCGGACGGTTTCCTTCCCAATTATTACAATTGGACTTCTCATGGCGAACCTTTGGATCCATCTGTTTTACCACAAACGGTAGGTTCGTCTCGTAACGTCCCTGCAGAGATGAGTGCGTGGGGAGACCCTGCTGAAATGAGATGGGAGCAACGTATGGTATATGACGCATACGGTGCATCGATGTCTCAGTTCAACCCCCCACAACCATCTAACGATCCTCCTGAAGCTTCGACCTTGTATCAACCACATGAGGATGAAAATCCGATATTTTATGAACCTTATGTGGATGAAGGTTTAGCTGAAAGGTTTCAAGATGTTTGAAAAGCAGCTGATCAACCCTTGTATGCTGATTGTGAGGGATACTCTCAGCTATCCGCCGTTACAGTGTTTATGAACATAAAAGCTGAATACAGTCTCCCTGAAACTTGCATGACTAGAGTCTGCAATAGGGTCGACATTCGGATCTCTGTCGCCTGATATGTTTAATCAGTTTCAGTCATCGGGAGGAGGCAGCCGAGGAAGCCACCGAGGAAGCCACCGAGGAAGCAACCTAGGAGGCAATCGAGGAGGCAACCGAGGCAGCCGAGGATGTTCCCGACCCTTGGACCCCGTGGATGCAGAAGATGATCATCATCGTGACTATGATGATAATGACGATGAATACGATTATGATGATTCTAATTATTATCACAATGGAGTCCGACGTACGGGCATGTAATTACATTATATTATTTGACATTGTATGGATTTTGTTTTTATAATTCTGTCTGTGATAACATTTTTTATGTTTAAGATCATATGGAATTTATTTTTATTGTAATTGCTCTAAAATAAAATTAAAATAATTTTTTATTTTTTTATAAAAATTATTTTTTTTTAAATCAAAAACATTAGTCACGGACTAAATCCGTGACTACTTTTTAATCCGGAATAAATTCAATTTTCGTATTTTTATTTTTTTTATTTAAATTTTTTTTTTAAACAAAAACATTAGTCACGGACCAGATCCGTGACTACATTTTATCCGGAATAAATTCATTTTTTTTAAATTTATTATAGTCACGGATACGTCCGTGACTACCACAAAAATAAAAAAAATTAAATTGAACGTAGTCACGGCTCGTGTCCGTGACTAACTCAAAAAAAATTTAAATTAGAAGTAGTCACGGATACGGTCCGTGACTAACGTGCCGGAGGCTTATTCCGGTCAAGATGTAGTCACGGACGTCGATCCGTGACTAATCCGTGACTACACCTAGTCACGGCCAATGGTCCGTGACTACATTCTAGTCACGCAGAACTAGTCACTGAACTAGTCACGGACGAAGTCCGTGACTAAAAGTGTTAGTCACGGACTTTTTACACTACGGTCCGTGACTACGTCCGTGACTACAGGCGAATTTTTTTGTAGTGTACAATTGTTGAATTATAGCATTAGTAATGATTATTGTGATACTTTTAACTTTACTTTAGTTTCGAACATCCAAAATGTAAAGGCCAGTTCCGCTATTGATGATATGTGTCAAGTCCTTATCCACTACTGCCACTTATTATTGCGTTGCTGAGTTGGTTAAACCTTTCAATTTAGCGATCTCAGTGCGCGTTTAAGACTGGATTAGCGGTCATTCTACTGTGACTGTATAGGTGGACAATAATTCGTTTTGAATAATACAAAACCTTAGTGGTGTGTCTTGATCCACTCATAAGTAATTAGTTGAATCCAATACCTTCGACGGTCGGGTATATGGACACCACAAGTTACACCATAGCTTAGGCATAAAATAGTCGTGTTCAATCTAAAAGGTGGCACAATCATCTATGAAAGAACCGACTAATTAATTATACGGAGTATTAGTTTAACATGTTTGATACTTGTAAGTTTTGCTTACATATCACTTATTATGTGTTATGATTCCATGTGAAAAGGTGTACCTGATATGAGGACTAACATATAATCTTATATAGTGTTTTTATTATTTTATAGCGTTCTGGTATGAGATAATACTTTGACAAGCTCCATCAACCCAAACTGCGTTGAAAAATATCGTAGTGTATAAATGGATCAAACAGACCTTTATTAAGTTATCCTTAATGATAAATGCTAAACAAGATGTCAAACCACAATCGGACTTCGCTTTAATATCAAATTGAGTCTTAGGATTTTGTACTAAAAGGTTAATCTAATAGGAGAAATAGTCCAGAGTATTTATACATGACTCTTAAATATTTATTAATACTAGTTGAATCCTTGTATCCTTATAAAAAATCAAGAGATTAGCTTGGATCTTGTCAAGTTTGAGAACCACAAGAAGTAAAAATATCTTAAATTCTAAATTCTAATCACTCCGAATTTCAAGGTGCAATTTTCTTTAGGCTCTCTCTACTTAAGATTGTCCAAACTTTTAAGAAGCCGAGATTACCTCGGAGTAGTATTGATTTCATCACCTCTATTTATTGTATTTTCTTTTTATAAATCTAACTTTTTTAGTTCACACAAATATAATAATGATATTTTGGTATAATTAGTTGTATTGTTGTACTGTGCAACGGTACAACCTACGCATGGTGCTTCCAAAAATTCGTACTTAGAATATTTTGCTCCCTCTGATCCCCAATTAAGCTCATAATTTCACTTTTTGAGTTAAGATTTATAAACTTTGATCAATAATTATTCAAAGTTAACATTAGTTTATTCGTTATTACACAAAATTAATTTGATATATTTCATTGCAATATATATATTATTCAAATTTAGTTTATTATAGATTTTATAAGTATAGATTTTTAGATACATAATGTCAAACTTTCACTTAATTAAAACAACATAGTATAAAGTCAAATTAAAAGTTTAATTGGGGAAGGAAGTATGCAGTGGAGTATATGGAGGAAAAGATATATGTCAAAACAATATAGTGTTGTGCTCGATCATTGTAGGCAAATATATACTTCATACACAAGTAGATGGTTCATCATAATTAAGTTCATTGAGAATGAATTATTGTTAATTTTATATCAAAATTATATTATTGCTCTAGTTCCTCAGATGTCAGATCACTCCGTTGGTGAATCTACTTTTGTTTGATTCGGAGCTTGAGTTTGCTACTTCAACAAAAAAATACTTACACTGCTTCGTCCCGAAAAGGTATGACATATTGACTTTTCTTGGTCAATAATGACAAATTTTTGACAATGATTTTAATTATTATATTTGTACAAAATTTATAGATTTTATACTTTTGTGCAAACATTTTGATACAATTCTCATATTTAAAAAATTACATATTAAAAAATATCATTGGTCAAAGTTGATTGTAATTGATCAAGAAAAGTCAATTTGGCGAACCTTTTCGGGATGGAGGAAGTATTTCTTAGCTTCTATACCCTTGTTTTTCTTCTTTTCTGCAATATATTTTAGTGGTTTACTTTTCAAATTCATCCATGTTTTATGCTCCTTTGTTTCTCTAAAAAAATGTTACAAGCACACACTTTCACACGTATTTAATATTATGACAACATTATATACGGAGTAATTCACACCAAACATATATATAACATTCCGAGAATATTCCGAGAATATATATAAGAGCTAGGGATGGATTTGTGAATAAATAAAAGAGAATTAGTATCAAGTTTTGATAGCGTAAATACATTATTATTATGCCGGTGAACGTAAGTTTTACATGATCTTTATAGGAGAATTTCTAGAACAGTGTAGAGATTTAAGACCGGCTCAGACCTCAATCACCAAATCATGAAAGTTGTTCGTCGATCATCCAATCACCAGAGGGTTTCAAAAGGAAAAAGGGGAGGGCAACAACCAGTGGCGTATCCAAAAAATTCGACCAGTGGGGGAAAATTTACACTAACATTATCACACAATTTTTAGGAAAGAAATATTAATTAAAAAATCCACAGTTTACTAAAATTAAAATAAATTTTTATAAGAAATAGATGAAATATTTATATATAAGTTTATAACTAATTTAAGTTACAAATGAACAAGTGTGTTTTAATGCTAAGTGAGAAAAGATGTGATTGAAATTACAAAATAATAAATTATTTTAAACTAATTTGTTGATTAAGTACAAAATCAAATATATAAAAGAATTGGATAAAGTATGTAACTATAAGTGCTTTAAGTTACAATTAAACTAGTTTTAATATTAAGTGTGAAAAGATGTTATTAAAAATACATACTTGGTAGCATTTAGTAGCTACATTAAAAAAAATTAATTGAAATCTTAAGTTTAGACAAATTTTAAACAGTTGTAATAGGGCAAAAAAATAAATCAAACAGGATTGGAGCTGGGAAGATTTGAACCCTTGACGGAAAAGCAGACCGTGTAACACTCCATCGAGTTGGCTAGTACACTAGCTTTGTCATTTCCGGACTTTAAGCATTATTATACTGTATATAAGACAATAATATATATATATATACACACACACAAATAAATTTTGATATATATAATTGGGTAAGGTGGAGGTTGAGTGGGGGCAGCTGCCCCCTGCCCCCACACTAGATACGCCCCTGGCAACAGCCACAACACTCAACATCACACAAAAGGAACCCACCAGAGAACCCCTCCAACCCACCGGCCAAGAGTGAAGCACCCAAAGGTATCCCAGGAGATCATCGAAGGGTGGCCGGAGCACAACCCAAGACATTTCCACACTCTCTCACTCTAGAACCAGGGCAACACTCTGAATGACTCATCGAAGAAGGAGAAGGGAGCGGAAGTAAATATTGATCTCTAGAAGGAACGTGACAAATATATCAAAGGGTCACTAGAGTCACGGGGTGGACATGATAAACAAGGGACGAGTGAGCTTATTATGGGAGAACCCAATATGGGCCAGGCTCATTAAATGCTAATGGGGTCAATACCACTCACATTATCTACCTTATTGGCACTTGGTGTGAAGCATATTGTGAAAGGGAGGATCATCATCGCCGGTTTTTTGCGTGCCTATTCTTATCTAGCCACAGTCTAAATTAAGTGTTTGTTTACAAGATAAAAGTTTTTCAAAAGAGAGACATTTAGTCCCCATATCAGCTGGGTTAAACTCAGAAGCAATCTTGCATAGCTTTAGTTCTCCTTTGTCAACAATATCCCTGATAAAATGAAATCTGACATCGATGTTCTTGGTCCTATCATGGAATACAGGATTTTTGCACAATTGGATAACTGACTGGCTATCTGAGTACACAGTCACAACCTGCTTAAGAAAACCAATTTCAGTACCAAAAGTGTTTCTATCGCAATAGTCGAGAACTAAAAATGAAAAAAATCACGGTCGAGTACCAAAACTGTTAATGACATGATAGTCGGAGGTCTAAAAATGATAATTTTCACAATTTGCAGAATTATCTGAAAATAAAAGGAGTTTGTGAAGATGAAATACTCATCTGGATAAAATTTCTCACAATTTTGTGAAGATTCAGTTTGTGAAGAAATGGACTTTCTTGTGCGTATAGATGTCTCTGTGTGCAATCAAAACACATGCTGCAATGGTTTATGGAGTATTTGTTTTCTACACATCCGACTCACCATATGTTTTAATAATTGTATCAATTTTTAATTTACGTGGCCCCACATCATATTTCCTTGAGAGCAAACAAAAGATGTTAGTTTTATGATCTTTCAGATATGATTTAAGTTATCATTTGGGGTCCAAAATCGATAACATGGTCAACTTTCTGTTCTTGAATTGGAGCGATAATATTCCTTTTAACAAACTAATTAAAGAACGAATTCGGCCACATATCATTCATATTTCACAGGCAAATGAGGGTAACAGAAGAAACTAATTAAGGGCAAAGTAGCAGATTTACACCGTTGCTTTGGAAGCTAGCTAGCTACCTAGTACTACAATATAATACTACGTTGGAAAGAAGAAACCTAATTATAACCGCAACAAGAACTGGAGACAGAGCTGGAGCGGTAGAGAGAGGACGAAGAATTCAAGAACTCAATGCAGTCCTCAATGGCTTCTGCTCTCTGGGAATCCATTGATCTCTCTGCATATGATCTGGACCTTCCCAGCTGGCTGCTGCTCGCCGAAGAGACCTTCCGAGAGCACCGTCTCTTTCGTTCCGAACTCGAAACGAGACGTACCATATTCGCTCCGATATGCTTCAGAAATCTCACCGCCGAAAACTCCGACGACCAGGATGGAGACTCTCCCTCTTCCTTAATAGTACTCTTTTTGTTCTTGTTCTTGTAGAGGTTGTTCAGTATTGGTTTTTCATGGTAGCCTTCTGGACTGAAACTCACTCTCTTGCTAATTATTCTTGACATTTTTTGGGTGGAAAGATGGAGACTTATCTAATAAGATATTGTTTTTCTCTGGGTAGGATATGAGGAAGAAGAGATGGTGTTACAGGTGATAGATGGTGGAGGGGTATTTATTGGAAATTGATGAAAAAAGGTGAGAGATATCAGAACGGGTTTCAATTTTGTTTTTAACCAAAAAGCCAAGTACACGAAGAGAAGGAAGTGAGAGGTTATCAAGTGATATTTGTCCAGTTTGATTGAGCATAAAAGTTGTGCGAGATTCAGGATGTTTTTACCGTAATTCATCCACACTGGAACAAATCAGATCAGACCAGATCAGGCCAGAGCAGATCAGACCAGACCAGACCAGACCAGATTAGACTAAATCAGATTTGGATAGTTATAAAAATATAAAGAAACCAAACCAGAACAGACCAGACCAGTTCAGACCAGACCAGACGAGATCAGATCAGATCAGACCAGATCAGACCAGACCAGACCAGCAAATTACAGTCCAAATAAAAACATCCTTATATAAAAAAAATGTGAAATAGCATTGTGAATTTGATAGTTGTTCACTGGTTCCAAAACCAAAGTTATGATTTTGAGGTTTGAGCCGTTTTAAAACAAACTTCTCCCTTATATCAAAATCAAAGTTAATTATCAAAATAGGATTAAAAGTCATTCACTTTTCACAAATAGGACCAAAAAATAAACTATGTTTGCATATGACTGATTATGTGTACCTTGGACAATTATACCCTTATAGCTATTAAAATGTTTTAATTCCTAATAAAATAATAAAAAATAATAAAAATTCGTAAAAAATACTAAAAAATTAAGAAAAACATTTCGATATTAAAATTTTAATTAATTTTTTTTTTCAAAAAATTAAAAAAATTAAAAAAATTAAAAAAAAAATTAAAATAAAAGTAAAAACTCAAAAAAAAAAAAAATCGTCGCCGCCTCTGCCGCCTCAGCACCACCATCTCCAGTCACTAGGGGAAAAAATGCCAAGTTCATTACGAATGCCATATTTATGGCAGAAAAAATGAAAATGTTGGCATTCGAAAAGAGAAATATGCCACTTTTTGGCATTTTCAGAAAAATGGCATTTTCTGGGAAAATGGCATTTTTTTCATCGGCCGGAGGTGGTGGTGCTGGGAGGTAGTACAGGCGGTGGGAAAGGCATCCATATTTTTTTAATTTTTTTTACGGAGTTTTAGTATTTTTTATTAATTTTTTTAAAAATAAAATTATTTAAAAAAAGTTTTTGAATTTTTTATTTTATAAAAATTTTATAAATTTTTTAATTATATTTCTACGAATTTTTGATTTTTTTCGAATTTATTATGAATTAAACATTTAATTATGGCTTTTGACTATTTTTAATTCATATTTAATGGAAGGGTGAGAATGGAATGCAAAAATAGGTATGTTTCCAATAGGACTCATATAGTCCTATTTTGGAATAAAAACATAGCAAGTCATATTTTAAGTTTTTGCCATAGTTTTAGTCCTATTTGAACTAATTTCTAAACTTTTTAATGAATTAGAAATTAGAATTTACATATTCATAAAGAGAATTCTCTAAATAGGAGTAAAACATAGGTAAAATGCAAAAATAGGAGTACCATGTTTTGAATAGGAGTAACTTTTGTGTTTCGAAAAGTATACCCCTACCCAAGCCCCAACAACTTTAATTAATAATTAAAACATAAAAGAAATTTACTCTGTATGATTAATTAATTTATAATAAAAATTTTAAAAAACAAAAAAAAACACAAAAAATATCAAATAAAATATACTTCGTATTAAATAGAATAAAAAATTATTAAAATAAAAAAATAAAAATAAAAAACTAAAATAAATTTAAAAAAAAATAAAAAATGAAAAAAATATAAAAAAAATATGTAGGCGTTTGCCGCCGCCTCAACAACCTCCCAGCATAACCAGCTCCGACTACTGAAAAAAATGCCAACATTTTCCCGAAATGCCATCAAGATGGCAGATTTTGAGAAAATTTTGGCATTTTCAAAGAGTAAAACTGCCATCTTTATGACATTTTCAAAGAAAAATGACATTTTTTACATAAAATGAAATTTTTTTCGCTGATGAGAGGTGACATTGCTAGGTGATGACCGAGGGTGCGGGAAAGGCCTGCATAATTTTTTTTTAATTTTTAAATGTCCCAATTTACTTAGTCATCTTTGACTTTTCCAGTCAAAGGTGGTAAACTTTGACCAATTATTTAAACTAATATATTTATGCAAAATTTAATAATTTTATACTTTTATGATAGTATTTTTAACAAAGAACATTTTCATATCATTTTCATTTTATTAATACTTTCTCTATATAAACATATAATCGGTCAAAGTTAGACGTCATTGACTTGAAAAGTCAAGTTTTACTAAGTAAAATGGGACGGACGAAGTACAATTTATCTATTTTTATTTATTTTTAAAGTTTTTTATTTTTACAAAAAATAATTTTTTTAATTTTTCATGTTTTTAATATTGATGGGATGCATAAAGGTATCGTTTCCAGTGAATGAACTTAGTTTTTTTAATAGGATCAAATAAGTCATATTTTAGAATTAACTAGGTTAGGGATATTAAGGGTACAAAATTAATGTTTACTCCTATTGAAGGAAGTTTTAAGTTTTACTCTTATTTATGCAATTATGTTTATGTTTACTCCTATATTGGGTAATTTCTCATTCATAAATCATAACTACTTTTCCATCATTTGCAATGAAACCAAAGATTCATTGTTTTTTGGCTTGAGATTATGATGAAATAAAGTAAAATATCTCACTAAACTGTCTGTACTTTTTTGTTATGAAGCAGTAGTCAATCCATGCAATTTTGGACGCGATTTTAACTATGGGTCATCCGGAAACAGTCTCTATGTGTTTTAGTACAGAGGTAAGACTGCGTACATCCGACCCCCCTTATCCCACCGTAGGTGGGAGCCTTTGCGGTACTGGGGTAAATGAAAATGAAAATGATAAATCATAACTACATAAAACCTCTATAAAATCTTAAAATTGAAATTCAAATTTAATAATAATAATATTTTGGTACGTAGAATTAATGATTCAAAGTGAATTGTGTTAATCGGTGAATAGTAAAGTGTAACTATTACGGAGTATTTTGGAAGGGAGGTAATATTCTTTTTTGAAAGGAATTGCCAAACTATATTAATTTAATCAATGGTTTACGGTTATAATTTCAAAAAAAAACCTACGCCCATATTCTAAGACATGCACCACGGAAGTAGTATTTTTTAAAAAAGGAATAAAATAATTTTGGGGTAAATGAAAAGAAATAGACTTAATTATATTTGGAAAAAGAGAGTATATTACATCCATAACATATATATGACTTAATTATATACTACGTACGTATTAATATCTATGTAAAGACTAAAGTTGTTCTTGATACCAGAAATCGCAACTACTCTTCAGTCCAAAACTTATTAATCCTGGGTAACCTTTTTTTTCAATATCGATTTTGTATTGTAAAACATTGAAGGATTAGCATATATTCTTTAGAAAAAAGAAATTAACAGATTTTAATGCAAAATAATAAATAATAAAAACTAAGCGGTAGATTTATTTACTATTTAATTAAAAATTACCTGATATGATCATCAATTGTGTGTAAGGACTATTAACTTAGACATGGTATTGTTACATTCTATTACTCCACAAAGAAACGAATATATCATAGTTCATAATATTTTTCTCTTAAGAAAATCTAAATCATCCTATTTTTTCAACTGATTTCGTAAAAGAAGGCATGTTCAACTTAGTACAACTTTTCAATTTATTATTGTGTTAAGATTCAACTTCTATGGATTATAAATAAGATCATACATATGTTATAAATAATCCAATGATCGAAAGAGTGAGAAAACCCTGTCAAGATAATTCCTAATATTTACAAATAGGAAATTAAAGGTACACAGATCCCCCAAGAACAAGAAAAAGTAAGGCTTGGTCAAATATATAAAGAACCATCCATAAACAAGAAAAAGTGAGGTGCGGTCAAAAAGTATAAAAAGAGGAGCAGTAGAAGAAATACCTCCACAAACATGGTAGAAAAAGGGTAGAAATGAAGAAGACTGGGGTGAGAGCAAAGACACAAGAAATGATAATTCTTGTTCTTAATTATTAGCAGCTTTTGCTTTTTTTTTTCTTTCTAATGTTATGTACTTATGTTGTTGCTTGGCTCTTAACTGCCCTACCCCTTTCCCTTTTTGCTAGCAGCTGCAGTACTGCCCAACTTTGATCCCTCTCAGGTATCACAATTTCCTTGGATGGCCCCCTCTTCATTTCCTCTCTCAAATTGGTCCATTTCTCTTTTAATTGTGTAATATATACTGTACTTAACTATATAAGTATTTATTTTTGGCACTCCCATGGAGAAGGCTAGAGGGTCAAAACTTATCACACTCAAGAATGTTGAGAATTAATTAGAATAGAGACTAGTAGATTACAAAGCACAACAAAAAAATTATTTATTTATTAATGAGACAAGATGGTGTGACAATAAATATGAATAAAATAGGGAAAATCGCACTTCAGTCTCTCAAAGAGTACAGATATTGAAATGTAGGCCCATGTTTTAAAGGCGGTATATGGCACCCCTCAATTGTCCAAATAGTGGTAAATGTGATCCTTTGAATAGTGACATTTACAATAGGGCTGAGGACCACATTTACATGCATGCATGATGCATTTAGACAATTGAGATGTGACATTTACACACATGAGAACACAGAGACTACTAATGGCAGACCTTCTTTGTTAAACTACATCCAAAATTTTGAAAATTAGATGTAAACATACATGTATATGTAGAAATGATGTAATAATTTATATGTAGTACTATCATCCGTTCCATAAAAGTTGCAACAGTTTGACTTTCACGTTTGCCAACACGCAACTTTGACTGTAATTATATTTATTTACGTATTAGTAAACATTAAAAAAAGTTGATATATTGGAAATTTACATTAATACAAATTTATTAATATTTTATACATAATATTTTTATTATATATATTATTGGAAAATCGTAGTCAAAGTGAGGTGTTTGAATAGTACAAAAATTCTAATGTTGTAACTTTTATGGAACGGAGGAAGTATATTATTGTACTATAAAGTAACATCTTACTGCTAAAGTAATTTCGAACACCCAACATTTAATTGCAAGGTTCACCACTGGCCCACTGAGGACTACGAGCCCGTTTGGTGATTATGTTTTTAGATTTATCAAGCTTATTAGCCAACTTTTTTAACAAACACGGAAATTTTGATTTCGCGTGCTGAATTATATAATAATAAGAAAAACTAAGGTTGTGGTTATTTTTCTGGCTGAATTTACTTAGATGACCATTGCACCTATTTTTCATATAATTATTTATTTATTTTATAAATAAAATATATTTTAAATATAAATTTTTCATAAATCAACAGAATCAGCCAATACAGCCACTTCGGCAGAGATTTATAAATTTCAGCAGAATCAACCAACCACTGATTTTAATGTTACCAAACGGACTATACATTTCAATATCGACACTATTTGAAGGACTGAAAAATAAAAGGACATGTTTATCCTGTTAATGTGGTGGGGGTTTGGGTGTGGATTTCATTGGCTCCATTCTTTTATCTGCTTCGATATATGAAACTGAGCGTTTTACATGAAAAATAACAATACCTGGGCCTTTGTAGCTAACCCGAGTGTACGGCCGCTTTTCATCTCAGTCGTTAGGCTAACCCTATAGTGGCCTATACGTTCAACTTTATGTACATTTTAAAGCGGCCCAATGTTATATACAACCACTATTATTTTTTTATTTGGGCCGCGATCTTTGTTCCAGTAAGACCAAATCCACTCACATGAGGGAGTAAACATATTTTAAAAATTTTTAAATTTCAAAATAGAAGTGTAATATTTTTATTTCCAATAAAGGAATATTATTCACCAAAATGGAAAAATGGAAGTTGAATGACAACAACGTAATTCTATTTAGTGAAAGAATATATCACTCATATTATGGAATTGGCAGTATTTTACTCCGTACTTAATTTCTGGATTTTACTAGTTTGAGTAGCTCACAACTTAAAAGAATAATTTTATTGGTTTAATTTCCTGGAATTTCTTATTATTAAACGTATATTTCATGGTAAAGTATATTATTTATCGCTGTTTAGTATAATTTCATTATTGTTTAAAGGTAGTAGAGTATATTGGTAGAAGTTTATTTACTAAATAAGGGAAAAGGTACTTTTGTATTATTTAGGGACATCTAATAAAGGAAAACGGTGAAATTCTTATTATAATAAGGAGATGAAAGGATTTATTTTAATTAAATTCATAATAAATGGAATATCACATTATATTCAAGAAGAGGATATTGTTAAATGGAGAGATAGTATCGATATCTATGCACACACATTAATTAAGATGCATGAATGATAGAAACATCACATTTAATAATATAGTATAGCGAAAAGTACATTATAGGTACTTCTCATTTGGGTCATTTTCAAATAGAAATAAATACATATTTACGACAAATAATAAAGATTAATTACAAAAATGTGACTCATGACTATAATAGTAATGAAATCATAATAATTTATGATAACTATTAGTGAGATTTATCTAACTAAGTTTTATTTTAGTAATATTAAAAAACATTTCAAATAAAGGCATGAGGTACATTTTTTAACAAAGTGGGGCACATGCTTTCACTCCGAGAGTCTGAGGGTTTTCGTCTAAACTCCTTCATAAAGAAGGTGACGTGTCATTAATTTATTCATCCACGTCACCTTCTCTTTTACGGCGTTCAGATAGAAACCCTCAAACTAAAAGTAAATACCCCACTTTATGAAAAAAGTAAATTTTATGCTCTATTTGAAAACGGCCTAAATAACAAGTACATTTAGTATGTTTTTCCCTATTATATATTATTACATTCTACCAATTGAATATAACGTGCCGTTACATTCAATTTTGATTATGTCACTTATTTTAATTGAATAGAGTTGCTTATTAGCAAAGGCACGACCGAATATATCAATTTCTTTGATTCACACTAACATTTTCCACTAAATCCAGTTGTTCCTTCTTCTACCTTTGCGCACACATTTATTCTACACCGCTACACGGTAAGCATTCTTTTCTCTTGCCTCGTTTTTACTCTTACTTCCCTCGTTTTTGTTTCTTAGTTTTGCAATCAAGGACAGATAGAGATGGAAGTTGCAAGTGAGGAGTGGGAGCTAGCGTGGCTCAGCCCTTCCTCAATTCATACTGAATCTGCTGAGACCACTTCAAGGCCCAGGCGTATTGTTCTCTTTGTTGAGCCCTCTCCTTTCTCGTAAGTCCTTATTACTGTATGCCAAGTATAGTTACCTCTTGTTTTGATTTGAAATTATTATTAATAAAGTGATTGACATTTGAGTATAATAAAGTAATATGACGATGTCATACCCATCACATGTTTCATTCTGGAAAAAGGAAATGTAATACTACGTACTTATTTGAGAAATGCTCCCATATAGGACTAAAAATAAATGTATATACTCAAATAAGATCTACCACTTTTTAACTCCTAAAAAGGAGTATATTTTTTCCCGTGTTCCAAATGTATCCCTATTTACCTCTGTTTCTTATCTTTGATGCTCGTCTCGATCAGCGTCTCTACAACTCCACAAGTTCCCATCGAAGGCCCAATTCAACTCTCGATTCGCGGCTCCTCCTAGCTGACCCGATTGGGTGGGATCTTCCAGAGATGGATGGCCTGGGATTGTTGGAAGATTACTCATCTTCTTCGGTGAACTGGCCACTGCCAGTGAAGATTGCCGGAGACACATCCGGCGGCGATGAAGTGGCTCGATGGAGCTGCAATTTGTTCGACGATTCTTATTCAAAAAATGAGATTTCCAATTCGAAGAATTAGGGATATGAAATTAATAAGAGCTGATATATTAGAGATGAAAACATTTAAACGGCAGTGAACATCGACATTGTGACATTGTCATTATTTCACAATGTGAAATTATTCCGACATTGTGACTTAATTTTTGTAACATTGACACTGTCACATTGTTATTATTACAATGTGCTTTTATAGAATTTGACAGTGACAGTAACAATGACATTGTCATTGCTTAACAATGTGACATTTTCCCGACTTGATGACATTTTTATAACATTGACATTTGCACGATACATTGATATTGACATTTTCATTATTACAATGTCAATTTTGTGGTGTTAACATTGACATTGTCATTAATTGACATTGTGACATTTTTCCTGACATTATAATATATTTTCAATAATGTGTTTTTCATTAAAAAAGTAAATAATGTACTCCATAATTTTTTTTATTGCTCTAAGCCTCTAAAGTTGTTGTTATCATTGTATTTTTATAGGTTTGACATTGACATTGTCATTATTTGATATTGTGGTATTTTTGTGACATTGTGATATTTTTTAACAATGACTTTATATTACATTATCATGTCATTGTAATAATTAATACAATTTTTTAGAGAGCAATATAGCATGAGTGCAGGGCACTAGAGAAACCGTGTAAAAAGTTAACAAAACATATGTATGTATATAACTATGTAATAGTGAATGATAAGTCGTATTCAACACAAAGAATTCACAGTTATTATCTGTCTAATTGAGAGCACTACACCAACCATAAATCACCCACCAAAGATTCATTGAAATGGTAAATTGACAAATGGATTTTTTTCCAAACGAAAAAGCAAAAGCAAAACTAAACAAAAAAAGAAAGCAAACAAAAAAACATTCTACGAAAACAGAAATTTACGCCCAGCGAAAATTAAAGTAGATCGGCGGAACAAAGAAGACGGGTGGAAGAAAAGAAGAAAAGTAGAAAAGAAGAAGACCCGCGGCGGAGCACTCCGGCGACGACCAACGGCAAAGCACTCCCTCCGGTGACAACCAGCTGCAAGCCACTCTGGCGCCGCGGCAGAACAGCAGAGAAAACCGCACATCTGCAATGGGCACAGACGAGAAGAATTACTCTGGGGTTCTCCAATGGTCTTCCTGTTTGATGGTAAAACATGAGTGGATAATTGTGTTGGCAGCTGCCGTACAAATACACCTAAGGGTATTTTTGTCTCTCCGTCTAAATTTTGTCCTATTTAGAGTATAAAAAGTGACGAGTCCTATTTAGATTCTTAGACTTTGTTTTAGTCCTATCTAAGTCTTTATCCCTACATATTTTGGGACGATTCAGGCAGGGGCGCCTAATGAATTTGGAGGCCCCGGTTCAAAATATAAATCGGGGTCTCACATTAATATATATATATATATATATATATATATATATTTAAAAAAACTCAATCCAAATGCTTATACTCAAATCAATGGAATACTTATTAAAAGAGAACTAAAAGAGTAAAAGGATCGACGGAAAAAATGATGTATCTATATTTTTTCTTCCTTACTAGCTAACTGTATTTTATTGATTAGTACAGAGTATTAATATATAATCTTACTATATACTTTGTAATACTAATAAATTTTTTTGTTAGTAAATAATGTACTCCATAATTTTTTTATTGCTCTAAGCCTCTAAAGTTGTTGTTATCATTGTATTTTTATAGGTTTGACATTGACATTGTCATTATTTGATATTGTTGTATTTTTGTGACATTGTGATATTTTTTAACAATGAGTTTATATTACATTATCATGTCATTGTAATAATTAATACAATTTTTTTAGAGAGCAATATAGCATGAGTGCAGGGCACTAGAGAAACCGTGTAAAAAGTTAACAAAACATATGTATGTATATAACTATGTAATAGTGAATGATAAGTTGTATTCAACACAAAGAATTCACAGTTATTATCTGTCTAATTGAGAGCACTACACCAACCATAAATCACCCACCAAAGATTCATTGAAATGGTAAATTGACAAATGGATTTTTTTCCAAACGAAAAAGCAAAAGCAAAACTAAACAAAAAAAGAAAGCAAACAAAAAAACATTCTACGGAAACAGAAATTTACGCCCAGCGAAAATTAAAGTAGATCGGCGGAACAAAGAAGATGGGTGGAAGAAAAGAAGAAGAGTAGAAAAGAAGAAGACCCGCGGCGGAGCACTCCGGCGACGACCAGCGGCAAAGCACTCCCTCCGGTGACAACCAGCTGCAGGCCACTCTGGCGCCGCGGCAGAACAGCAGAGAAAACCGCACATCTGCAATGGGCACGGACGAGAAGAATTACTCTGGGGTTCTCCAATGGCCTTCCTGTTTGATGGTAAAATATGAGTGGATAATTGTGTTGGCAGCTGCCGTACAAATACACCTAAGGGTATTTTTGTCTCTCCGTCTAAATTTTGTCCTATTTAGAGTATAAAAAGTGACGAGTCCTATTTAGATTCTTAGATTTTGTTTTAGTCCTATCTAAGTCTTTATCCCTACATATTTTGGGACGATTCAGGCAGGGCCGCCTAATGAATTTGGAGGCTCCGGTTCAAAATATAAATCGGGGTCTCACATTAATATATATATATATATATATATATATATATATATTTAAAAAAACTCAATCCAAATGCTTATACTCAAATCAATGGAATACTTATTAAAAGAGAACTAAAAGAGTAAAAGGATCGACGGAAAAAATGATGTATCTATATTTTTTTCTTCCTTACTAGCTAACTGTATTTTATTGATTAGTACAGAGTATTAATATATAATCTTACTATATACTTTGTAATACTAATAAATTTTTTAAAATCTAGGGGCCCTAAAGTTGGGGGGCCTGTTTCGGATAATCTATTGAACCTCCTAAAAAGATTCAGTTAGAAAGTAAGATATGGGATTGATGGATTATCTATTTGCAAACAACCACATGATATTAGTATTTCATGGCCATGTGCAGATATATATCTGGATACAAGAATCGCTTCCAGAATTTCATCAAATATCTGCGGGAATTAGGCGATCAGGTATCATTCTTATTAGCCTATCTCGATGATTCTTCATTAATTTGTACGTAGTATTTTTTTAGGCAGGGAGGCTGTATTTTTTTGGTGGTTGGAAAATATTCTTTCCTTTTTTGTGCCTTCATTAATTTCCTAGTAGTTATATATATAATCCATCTACAGTTTTCTTTCCCTTTTTCTTTATACAGGAGTTAGAAAATGTTTTATTAGTAGCCCAAGAACTAGTATACTTCCCTATTATATTTTTTGAGATCTTCTCACTTTTAGTCCTCTAATTATTATGTTATTGACACTTGTAACACTCGATGTTGATTTTTTTCAATTTTAGTTCTTCGACTATTGTGCGTAAGACACTTTTGGTACCGTCTTTGAAAAGTTCTATATTTAATCCTTCAACTTTCATAAATGTAACCTTTTTTATCATTCAACTATTATAATAGTGAGAATGTTAGTCCTCTAATGATTATGTCAAAATCATAGTGGAAGAATAAAAAATGTCAATTTGGTAACAATCAGAGAACTAAATATGAGAAGCTTTGAAGTTGAAGACTAAAAGTGTCTATCGCACAATAGTCGAGAGCTTAAAGTGAAAAAATTGAAAATCGAACACTAAAAGTGTCAGTGACACAATAATCGGTGGATCAAAAGTGACGGACACTCTAATTTCACTTGTAAATCTTGACTTTCATACTCTACCAAGAACGTATCTAAATTGGTTATTTGCTAGGGGATATATGACGCGTAGGGTTGTAAACGAATCGAATCTAGTCGAATAATGAGATTTTGTATTTGTATTCGTTTCATTTTTTCGAATACGAATTCGAATTCAAATATGAAATGAATATTAATTTCGATTTGTATTTGTATTTATTTAACAATATGAATAGTTAATGAATCATATACGAATATCGAATCGATTTGAGCATACGTTAAATATTAGTCAAATATCATTTTAAAATAATTTTTCTTATACTTCGTGTTTTTTATGTTATAAATGCATGATATGACTTAATATGTGTTTTTAGAATTTAAATATAATGGATTGATACATTTTTAGATGGTGCACAATATACTAAAGTGAATTAATTTTATGATTAATAAATATAAATCTATTTCAAACTTTTTGAAATAAACACTAACACACACATATTAGAAATTATACTTATAATGTGTGAAAGGGAAATTTACCATATTCATCCCATAACTTTCGGCCGTTATCATTATTAGTCCCGTAACTTTAGTCACTTGCAAATTTGGTCCTCTAACTACTTAATATTTGTGATTTAAGTACTTTTCCCCTGAAAAGTACACTTTCCGGCAATACCATACCGGAAAATTTGTCGCCGGCGTCGAACTTTTCTGCCGGAAAGTGTACTTTCCGGTGGGAAAGTCCTTAAATTACAAAAATTTATTAGTTATAGGACCAAATTTGCTAGTGCTTAAAGTTACAGGACCAAAAGCGATAACAACAGAAAATTACATACAGGACTAAAATTGCAAATCTCCCTGTGTGAAATAAGTTGATAAGTGTATATATCAAAGTCAAACAACTCTAATTTTATTCTTCAAATCAAATACATAATTATTTGTATTGTATTTGAAAGACATCTGAACCAAAAAAATTATTTGTATTCGTATTTATATTCTGATTTATTACAAGTGGACTTGGAATCTGTATACAAAAGTGTATATATGGCTACACTTTGAGGGTATTGCTATCTTTAAAAAGTTATTATAATGTTATTACTATTATTATTAATATTGACATTAATTAATATTACCATTATTATTAATCAAATATATTTAATTAATATTTGAATCGAATACATTGATATTCTTATTTGTATTTGATAACAACTCCAATCAAATTTAATATTCGTATTTGTATTTGAATTTTCTGAATTCGAATCGTGTTATACATACGAATTCGAATCGTGAATCGAGCGCAAATTATTTAATTCGTTTACAACCCTAATGACGCGTAGAACGTGAACATTTATCCCATCCATCAGGGCATAATTATAATCTTCTAGGTGTACACGTTTTTTGTGTACATTTCTGACACATTTGTTTGTTTACGCATGTGGGGCCCTATATAATTGTCTGCATATAGATAACTTTGTTTGCGTAGACAGACAAACGTGTCAAAGATGTACACTAAAAATGTGTACAACAAGCACGGCTCAATTTCAATTTTCATAAATTGTTATAATTTGTGTTATGTACTGTAGTAATAATTTAACCTTTTCTGAATATTTTTGTGTATTTATTACTAATGGTATTCTAAATATGATTTCAAACTGTTTTTACCTTATGGCTATCTAGGTGGTGTAGCTAGGAGTTTCTGAATTCATTTTACACAATTACCTAATTACTGTTTTTATCCCACACAAAATAAATTATGATCAAATTATTGTCTATAACGAGAATATTCTAAACAAAGATTTACTTAGAAATTTTATGATTAAAATAATTTTAATATGTAACATATGAATATTATGACATTAAAGATTGTTTTTATTCAACCATTATATTATCTAAAATGAAAATAAGAAAAAATATCATTATCTTTTTAATTGAATATATCTATTCAATGAGCTCCACTCTTTTGAAAGTTATATTTAAAATATATTTTATTAATAAAATACAGAAAAAAGTTATATGAAATATATTTAAAATAATTTTCTATTGTAACTTCATCCAATATTACTTAGCTTGATTATACCATTCAGAATGTAAAATTAAGTGTTTAATAAAAAGAATTAATTTACAAAACTGATAAACCCAAACATACGGTCATCAACCAAGTCCCAATTGTTTTTCTATAGAAATTGCTTTAAATAGGAGCAAAAACGTTTAGAAATCTGCCAAGTTTGGAAAAAAAAATGTCATGTTTTAAAGCATAATAATGCCAAACTTGGCAGAAATTTACTCCTATTCAAGGAATAAAAACACATGATACTCCTATTTTGAAATTTTGAAATTTTTTTATTCCTATTTAGAGAATTTTCTCGTTTTTCTATTGTTCGACAAAAGCCTCGTTCGGTTGAGGTATTCGTGAAGGTGGCGAGAGAGGATTGACTTTTATTTTATTGCTTGATCTCTATTGGTTAGTTTGGATTAGAAATGCATATATGTAATTGGTTTAGAAATTGCTCTAAATAGGAGCAAAAACATTTTGAAATTCCAAAATAGGATTATCATGTTTTTTATTCTTTGAATAAGAGTAATTTGTCAAGTTTGGAAAAAAATGCCATGTTTTAAAGCCTACTAATGACAAACTTGGCAGAAACTTAGTCCTATTCAAGGAATAAAAAACATGATACTCTTACTTTAGAATTTCACAACTTTTTTACTCCTATTTAGGGAATTCTCCCTAATTGGTTTAGAAATTTATTTTCTATTTTCATCTTATTTTTTATTAAATGCATAAATTTTTATTGCGCACGTTTAATTTTGTCATAGCTAAAATAACATCATTTTCAGGGGCGGAGCCAGGATCTAATGTCAGTGATGTCAATTTATAAAAGATTATCTATGTTATACATAGAATTTTTATTTTTCAGTGGTGTTAATTTAAATTTTTTAAAATAATTTATATACCTATATATGGGGGGATTCGGTGTCAATTGACACCACACCTCAAAGGGTGGCTCCGCCCCTGATCGTTTTGTCTACTAATTGCTATATCAAAACAGTTAAATTACCAAACACGTAATTACAACTCACCAAGTAATTTTGCTGATCAAACCCATTTGACTGAATGCCAACATAATTCGTTAATCGCCAACATGCTAGTCATGTAATTTGTTCAATACAAAATAATGCATATGAGATGTGGTAGAAATAACTTGAAGTCTTGACCATATGGAAGTGTAGGATTATTTACATGACCTAATATTATAGGAAAAGTTCCCGAAATAGGACTAAAATAGTTTCAAAATTCTAAAATAGGATTGTCATGTTTTTTATTCCCAAAATAGGACTAATTATTGTCATGTTTAAAAAATATTGTCATATTTGAAGTCTGGTACTGCCAAAACATGTCCGTAATAATGATGTTTTTACTTGGACTATAATTTGCTGGTGTGGTCTGGTCTGGTCTGATCTGGTCTGGTCTGGTCTGAACTGGTCTGGTCCGAACTGGTATGTCTGGTCTGGTCAGGTTTCTTTGTATTTTTATAACTATCCAAGTCTGGTCTGGTCTGGTTTGGTCTGAACTGGTCTGGTCTGGTCTGATTTGATCTGGTCTGGGACGAATTACAGTCCAAGTACAAACATCCTAAGTCCTATTTTGAGAATAAAAACATAGCAGTCCTATTTTAGAATTTTCAAACTGTTTTAGTCCTATTTCTGGCAATATTCTCATTTTATTTTGTGCAGGTTATGGTTGTGACAACACTTCAAGGGCTTCCACAAGAATTTTATGGGACGAAATTGATAGGGTCACAAAGGTTATTAATATCACTGGTTTATATATAGTTCCACACTTCCATATGCTTTTCTTATTTTATACACCTTTTCTTTTTCATTTAGCCAAATTTGATTTTTCAAGTGCATAATTTTCAACTTTAAATGTAGTATCATAATATTGCATATGTAAAACTTTTAAAAAAATCTAAAATTTTAACTGCTGGAGGAGTTACTAGGCTGAGAAAACACAAAATACAAAATTTTAATACACGAAACTTCCACAAACTATTTAGTTCTTACCATTTATTCAGAATTTATATAATATTTTCAAATAATTCTAACACAATCATAGTTTTTAAATATTTTTAAATACATAACTATATCTAAACTATTATGTGGGTGTCTCACTCCCGTGCAGCGCACGGGTGGAGTAACTAGTTAACTTATTATCTTATCCATGTGTGACAGATAGTTGAACAAATAATATAAATATCTGCCATTGATGAATGGTGTTGTATGGTGTGCTGAAAATAGTGTATTTCCTGACTAATGGATTTTCATTTCTATTTTTCAGCTTTCCTTGTCCCTGGTACCCTAACTTGCGGCTTTCTCTGGCTCTTAGCCCTAGAATTATATCAGAGGTGTTGAAATTCAAGCCTGACATTGTGCATGCTTCATCACCTGGTATAATGGTCAGTTTCCATTTGCTCCTGTCATCTTATGCTGTAAATATCTTAGAATTCAGGATTAGGTTAAGGTGGCTATAGTAATTTAAATTTATTTGTTTTCTATTGCACTAATTTTCTTTGTTTTGTTGTGTAACCGCGATAAAACGCCTTTTTCGTTTTGACAGTTTAATTGTATTGTAGGTATTTGGTGCTCTAATCATTGCAAAACTCTTGTCTGTGCCCATAGTTATGTCTTACCATACTCACGTTCCAGTGTATGTTAACCCTTTTAGTACTCTCATAAAAAAATGGATTTTACTTGTCATTGATCAGTTTTTGGTAAAGCAGATTAAACCAAAGGTTAGGCTGATTAGTTCTTGTTTTGCAGATACATTCCAAGATACACTTATAGTTGGTTGGTCCAGCCTATGTGGTTAATCATAAGTATGACAGAAAATGTTTTCCTTGGATTGTTCCTCATTGAAATCATGATGTATTTTAGCTATGAACAATAAAAGCAATTGTTATTGTTTTCCAGAACTTCTTCATAGAGCTGCTGATCTTACGCTTGTTCCTTCTGCTGCAATTGCGAAAGATCTGAAAGATAATGATGTCACAGATGGTAACAAGATATAATTTACATTTCTTAATATTCTTTATTAACTCATCTCACATGGATAATACGTAGTATATATTTATAAAAAGTATAACCCAGAATTTTGAGCTATGTGCTTTTTATCTTGTAGAATGGAGCCTCAAGTATTAACAATTTTTACCTAACTGAACTACTGAGGATCATAATACATAACCCCTTAACTTTTTGTTTTCCTTTTAGAATCACTTTTATGATCCTTAGCTTCTTATACATATGTTGTTACTAAAGTTCATTACCTTCTATGATTATTGTGACTAAACTCTTTCATTTACACACGTTTGTTCTTCTTTTCAGCTAACAAAATCCGTTTATGGAATAAGGGCGTCGATTTCCATAGCTTTCATCCACAATATCGTTCACATGAAATGAGACTAAGACTCAGGTTGTATCTTTTAGCCAATGATTCTTTTTTTTTTTTGAGCTTGAGCCTTTTTTTATTCACTTCTGCAATATGCTTGAAGAATCATTTCCATTTTCCCTTTTTTCAATGCTAAAAAAGTAATGGAGAACCGGACAAGCCGCTGATAGTCCATGTTGGCCGACTTGGAGTTGAGAAGAGCTTGGATTTTTTGAAAAGGTACTGTCCTGTTCTTATTTTGAGTTCATTTTGAGCTACATTGTACTTATTTATATATCCTTTGACCCTTTCATTTTGAGTTCATTTCTTAAACAGGCTCATGGATAGAATTCCAGACACTCGAATAGCTTTTATAGGAGACGGTCCATACAGGTGAGATGCAAAGTCTTATTAAAATTAAAGTTACTCTAGACTATTAGGACTTGGCTTCAGTCACTAGCTGTTCCAGGAGGCTAATACTTCATATTGAAATACATATGAGTTGAACGTTTGAGTGTAATAGGCTTAGCTTAATACTCACATATACTAGTATTGTCCAGCATGATTTGAACTGAAGGGTGTGTTAACAACATCACCTTTGTCATTGTAGGGAGGAACTGGAGAAGATGTTCTCGGGCACGGGGTGTGCGGTGTTCACGGGCATGTTATCAGAAAAGGAGTTATCTCAGGCTTATGCTAGTGGAGATGTTTTCGTGACGCCTTCTGAGTCAGAGACACTTGGGCAAGTGGTTCTGGAGGCCATGTCGTCCGGACTTCCCGTGGTGGCAGCTCGTGCGGGAGGCATTCCAGAAATCATTGCGAACAATCAAGAAGGAAAGATTGGGTATTTGTTCAATCCTGGAGATGTTGATGACTGTTTAAAGAAACTTGAGCCTCTTCTCTGGAACCGAGAGTTGAGAGAAACCATTGGCAGAGCTGCACGCGAAGAAACGGAGAAATATGATTGGAAGGCTACCACTGCAAAGATTAGGAATGAGGAGTATAGTGCTGCCATTTGGTTTTGGAGGAAGAAGAGAACCCAATGGCAATGGCCTTTCCCATGGTTGTTTAAACCTTTTTTCCTGTAGAAACCAGCTGATGTTGGTAAATCATTTACTTGTAAAAACATAATTACATTGTCCATAAGAGTAAATATTAGGGAACTCATAGTTTCCAGTTTTATATGCTTTACTCCCCTTTAAAACCATTATATTTCTGGATTTTGAAACCTGTCTTGGTCTATATTACAATAATCCTCAAAGCTTGTATATTTATATAACATTAGTATGTAATTCAATCTTTTTTTAACTTTAAAACCTTGCTGAGCGAAATTTAGTCTTAGGGAGTTCGGGTATGGTATGTGTTCTTACCTCTGTTCTAAAAATCATTCTAGGCGTCCAACTAGTCCCCGCCTAGGCGCTAGGCGGTGGCCGGGCGCCCCGATTTTCGTCTAGGCACTCCGACTAATTGGTTTGCCGTGTAGGTGATTTAGTCGGCCGCCTATGGCGCGTAGTTGCCCATCCAGAGCGCCTAATCGGCTACCTAGGCCGTCTAGATTCGCCGAACACTACTTTACTTTTTAGTTTTTTTTTTTCTAAGCGATATAAGTACTTTAACTTTAGCCACAAATATAAAGAAATGAAGTTGTGAATTAAGATAATAACTCTATATGTTTGTATATATACCTAAATTTTATTATTATTTATATTTATAACATAATAAAGTTAAGTGATTAGTTATCATATACTACCTATGATTAAATGTGATAATTCTATCATTCATGTTTATTAATGTATGTGTATATATGTATTTTATACACACAAAAAATACAATATTACTTAACATATTTATGCAAAAATATAGATAAATATGCAATTTCTATGTCTCCGACTAGTCACCGACTAGTCCCCGACTAGGCGCCTGCCTAACCGCCTAGGCACTAGGCGCTGGGCTGGTGCCCGACTAGTGTCTGACGCCTTATAGAACATTCGTTCTTACAATTCTTATTTTGATGATTTATAACAGGTCGCGGGATGATTACTACTAAATCCATATCAAATTGTACGTGATTGGTTTGGTTTGGTTTGGTCAATTTTCTTTTAGTTTGGATTTTTTGTTTTTTGAAGAATTATATATAAATATATATCCAAGTTTAGTTGAATATTTTAATTCAGTGTTGTTTCATTCGCTTTAAGTTCAACTCGAACTTATATGCGGTAATTTGAAGAAAAAAATACTCCCTCCGTCCTTAAAAGATTCGCCACATTGATTTTTCTTGGTCAATGACAATCAACTTTAATCAATGATATTTTTTTAATACAAAAATATTTAGAGTATGAAAATTATATCAAAATGCTCCTTAATGGATAAGTGTACCCGAGTGTATCTATCCGAGGGGTTACTGCGGGGAGTAACTAGAGAGAAGTCAGAGCAAAAGTAAGAGAGAGAATATATATTGCTGAGAATGTGTTGAGCGTATTGAAGATTACAAATGGGGAAAGGGGTGCTATTTAAAGTAGTAATAAATGCCAGATAGGGACACGTGTCATCATTCTGGTGGTTGAGGGGTCACCTCAACGGGGGTGGCACTGGCACTCGCATGTGGCCGCATTAAATGCGGTGGTTGGATGTGACGTTTGTACTTGGCACGTTGATCCGGCGCATGTGGGTGGGAGATTCTGTCGAGGAGATGCCCTCGGCCGTAGATGATTGGCCGAAGGCTCTTCATACCGGGGCCCTCTAGGTGTCGAGGGCTCTAGGTGCCGAGGGCTACTGTTTCGCCGCTTTCTCCCAGACACTTTGAGTACTTTAAAGAAGCTGTATCGTGAGTTTATTAGCCTTCGGCCAGGGGGTCGAAGGCACACCAGTGTTCGTCGTGGGCTGTTTGTCATATGGGGCGCTGTGATTTGGGCCTGCCATGCTTCCTGGGCTTGTTGGGCCTTTGCTACAGTAGTGAGAGTTTATGGGCCGGGGGTTCCTGAGCCATATACTCCATCAGGAGTCCCTCACTCCTTTTGTCGAAAGGTACTTGAGGGAAAATGAGTAATTGCGGTTGTCCTCTGATGTTGCCTCGCTGTAGTTTGTAAATGGGAGGTTTGCGTTTGCACATGATTCTGCCGGGGGGCGGCCCTTCAGTCCTCACATTTTGGGACTGAAGGGTCATGTTGCTGCTTTGGGGAGATTTTTGACATTTTGCATTTTTGTGATTTTTCCCGAAGGGGTCCTCCAGTCCCCCACTCCTTGAGGCACCTGTAATGTGGTGAAGAGGAGTAGAATAGTGCCCGCTGTCGCATAGGGCCGAAGGTTGAAACTTTTTGTTTCATTTTAGGAGGATGTCTCGTTAAAAAACTCATGAGGAAAAACTTTGCGGGAAAAAATCCTAATGAGGGGAAAAAAGTGCACCGAATTCCCCCAATGATGACTCGAAAAGGTGAAACCTTGGTCTGAGATTAAGGACAAAGTTTATGCCGAAGGCTACCATTGATCTGAGGGCGCGTGGTTTGACTTACCGAAGGCGCTTTGTAAATATCCCGGGAGATGCAGAAGGGGAGTCCCTCAATCCATGGGGTTGAGGGGCGTGATGAATGTAAGTGGTAGTTGCTGTGTTGCCGAGGGGGTTCTCTGGCTAATGACAAGCTGGGGATGAGGGCACTCGATGGTCCCGTTGTTGTATGTTGAAGGCTGACCACCTAAGAGGGGTGTTAAATTCGATGTTCCCGAGGGGTCTCCTTGTTGCGTGGCCGGGGGGACAGTTGATGAAGGATCCCGAGGGGTTTACCCGTTGTTAAGCCATGGGCTCTTGATTGAGAAAGCCCGAAGGCACTTGTGATGTTGTATGAGGGGTACCGGCCGGGAGCACCTCTGTGTTTTCAAAATATAGCCGTTGAGATATGACCGTTGGAAGTGGAGTCTACGTGACATGTGCTCGTTGGCTCCCGGCGGGCGGGCATCACATGTTGGTCGAACCGGCGGTGTGTAATGATGATTCCGGGAACTGGGGGCTCGGATTTCAGCCCAAGCCCGGACTCAGGAGCCTATAAATACCCCTTGCCCGATTCATTTCCCCTTGTGCGTTTCATTTGTTTAGCGAAGCTCTGGCAAATTTTTCCTAGAGAGAGAAACCTTCCCTCGGTCAAACTACCAGCTTTCAAGGTCAGTCCTCGATCCATTCTCTGTTGCCTTCAGCCTACTTTGCTTTCTTTTCGTTTTGGTGAGTTCAGTCTTTCGTAGCCTTAGACTAAGCGATATAGTTCTGACGAGCACTTTGTCACGGTGCGTCAAAATAATTTTAAATACTAAACACTTATACGTAGTATAGCGTAGTAGAGTTCGTATCCACAGGGAAAGGAATAATTCTCTTTTTATGATACTTAGTAAGTAAAAAAGGGGGGATTTGGATTGAGTGATTTAATTTAATTAAAAACTAAGATGAACAACCTATATGTGTTTAATTCAAAGATAAAAAGGACTTGGCATTGCTACTTTCCACTTGTTGATATATTTTAGTCGATCATTGTTATATCTATAACCTATTCCCTCTCGAATACTCAATCGGGGAGTATATCCACTTCATCGAGGGTAGTTATTAACAACGACCGTTCATTAATAACCCTTACTATTAATCAAATATAGAACAACGCCTTATACCGATTTAATAGTAGCATTTAATCTTTCTAACTCCTTGATGAAATCAATTGAGATTGATAACCTCAACACAAGCGGTTTCGGTTTAACCAACAAAATTAATCCCTCTTAAGTTTATTAACCACGACCGTGCATTAATAAACCGAAGTTACTTACTTGTGAAACCATCAACGATTAACCATCGGTTCGTTGATCGTTTCTAGTAATAATTAATATATGAAACAAAACTAGTTGATCCTTTAAGTAATGTTCAAAATATTAATATGAAATAAGAGTAGGAATTAATTAATATTCAAGGAAGAATAATATTAAAGAAGATGAATCCTACTATAATTAATATCAAGATGTTAACTAATTGTCATCTTAGCAACACTCCCCAACATTAATATAGAGGAAGAAAATACCATTCTAACTAATGTCGAGATGTTAACTAATTGTCATCTTAGCAACACTCCCCAACATTAATATAGAGATGGTATTAAGGAAAGAACTATTAATTAATATTCAAGGAAAGAAGTTAAGAAAATAACTCACAACTTTAATAATCAACAAGCTTCAAGAGCAACACCAAGAATGGAAGTTTAGCTCCTCATTTGGAGACTAAACATAGCTAGAAAAATATAAAGAAATGCTATTCTAAACTGAGCTTAAGAGTATGGAAGAAGGGATGATGAAATGTGAAGGAAAATGGGGCTATTTATAGGTGTTTTCAACACCTAATGCCGGATACCCGACCGGGTATTTTGACATACCCGACCGGGTATTTACCAAATCAAATATTTCCCCATGTTTTTGTGTCTTCTGCACGTTCTTTGGTCCGAAATCACAGAATACCCGACCGGGTATATGGAATACCCGACCGGGTATTTGCTAGTTTTGCAGCAGTTTCCTTTGTCACTTCATACCCGACCGGGTAAAGTCCATACCCGACCGGGTTTTGCACAAAACTCAGGTTTCTTCATCCTTTTTGCTTCCAAACCTATCCTAAACTTATAGCCAAACTAACTACAACTCACAACAAACAATAAAATGCTAGAAATACGATTACAATCAAATGCAAACTAACAACTATAAACTTGCACAAAACTAGTAAATAAACATTACAAACAATAATGAAAATGTATACTTAGGCACTAACAACTAGTGCCTATCAAACACCCCCACACTTGAACTTTTACTCGTCTCGAGTAAAACAAATCATGTCCATGAAGTTTCCAAACCAACAATTGTAGCAATTACAACCATTCACAAGTGTTTTTGAAAATCAACATAAAAGAATGTTTCAATGATCAAAACACATGAATAAAAGGTCTTCACCATCATTGGGTTTCTCTTCTTTTGCTCCTTATGTGTACCCTTAGGATCCTGCAAATACAAAAGAAATACTTTCTCTCATTCTCTCATTTTGCCTAGGTGCCCTTTCGGGTTTTCATCCCAGCTTCCCACATTTTCCTTTTTAATTCTCCCCAACTCACTCTTCTTTTTTGCTTTTATTTTGCTTAAGTTGCCCTTTTTGGGTTTTCAACCTAACAAGCTTAAATATTTTTTTTTATATACCAAGAATAAAGAGTATGAAATGGGAGCATACCAGAATAATT